TAGGAATACAGTTGATTGTTGTATGTACCTTTAATTTTGAGACATCCTGCTAGACTAAAGAAGTGTGTGAGTTTATGTGTAACATATTATGACATTCAAACCATTTTGTCTTGAGGTTACTGTTTCTAGGTTGAATCTAACTCAGAGATCTCAGTTACCAACAACTCCCCTGCCACATCTTTCTTCTGTAACCTCAATAAACATGGACATCAGGGATCTGTCAATTGCCTGCTTCCAGTTTGTTGCCCAGTAGATTGCTGCATAATTTCTTTTCTTAATTTTAGGCATCCAATACTTTAATGAGTTATGTCACCTTTTCATATGGGAATATGAGAACAGATATACTTCTTTTCCAGTCAAAGAAAGATTTCTATTCTATGAAGAAGACATATGGGAACAAAACCCAGTATGTGTCATTTTTTTTTGTTTTTGTTATTTTTTTGTTATGTGTAGTCATTACATAATAGTAAAACCCCATGATCTTACATATGCAAGCAGGAATGAATTGGCATCGCTTACTTTAAAAACAAAGTCATAACACCAGTCAGGAGCTCTGGTTAAATCACTGATGATTAGCAACTTAATCCTTGAGGTAAAAAAGAGGAATGAAGGATCATTCCTGGTACATATTGTAGGCCATATCAGTAAATATCTAGAAGCTGGATTTTCCAAATCTGAAAATCCAATAATGTTCCTAGGGAAGGAAAAGGTTGCTCCTGACATCCTAAGGAAAGTTGTCTTGGGCAAGCCTACAATCTCTAGACACCTTGCCATATTTTCATCTTTGCTTTATCCTCTTTCTCTTCAACAGATAGCCCCTGTGATCTCATTTTTTAGGCTCTCCCTGAGTCCCTTAATCCTGATCCAGGTATAGGTATCCTCAGAAGTGGAAAGAAAGAAGCTTTATTGCATTCCTAACAGGATTTGTGGTGAAAAATAATTCTGTTTTGGAGGAAGGGAGGGTATTTTGTTTATGTTTGATTTATTTATTTTTTACTCTAGATTAATCACAAATACCCAGAAAGAAGATTGCTTGTGACAGAATCTTGTGTAGCACCAGCACCTTACCTTCCTGTAAGAATTGTAATTTTTCTTTAAAAAAAAACTTTTCCTTCTTTTTTTAGCAATAGAGAAACCTTTTTTTCAGGTGTCTTATTATACGTTTTAATCCACATTCTGTCATAACAAAGGAAGAAGTTGAGCTGAATAAAGAAAGCTCACATTGATACCATGTGACATTGCAGACAGAGGGGAACATTAGCCACTGATTTTACATGAGTATAAATATATTAAACCTCATCAAGAATTCTCAAAGTTTGGTCGGAGGACCCTGGGGAGTTCCTTGATCCTTTCGAAGAGGTCCATGTGATGAAAATTATTTTCATAACAATATTAAAACATTTTTTGTCTTTTTCTCTGTGTTGACAGTTACAGTGTTGGTGCAAGCAAAATTTGTAATGGGCAACAGTAGCAGTGCATTAGCACTGATCAAAGCAGTGACACCCAGATAGACAGATAATGATCATATTCTTCACTATAGGGCACTCACAGAAAGTCAACTTCACTGAAAAATAAACTTGGTGAATCAGTGAAATTATTAATTCTACTAAATTTTGACCCTAAGTATGCCTCTTTTTTAATATTCTGTATAATCAGCTGGAAGATACTGATATTAAGCCCTTTTGCTGCATTCTAAACTATGATGGCTGTTGCAAAAAGCAAGCACTCAGATAGTCTGAGTTGTGAGCGGAACCAGCTGCTTTTCTCGTGGGACACCAGTTTTGCTTGACAGGTCACTGAAAAAGAAACTGTGATTATTTAAACTTGGTATGTGGCAGACATTTTCATGAAGATAAGTGACAAGGAGCCTTGCTTCAAGGAAAACAAGTAGACAGTTTTCATTGCCAATGATAAAATTAGAACTTCTAATGAGAACAAGAATTTTGGAAAACTTTTATTCACCATTCAGAGCTTGACAGCATCTTTTCTTATCAGAAGAGGCTATGAAGATACTTCTCCCTTTCTCAGTTATGTGTTTCTGTGAGGCCAGGTTTTCTTATGCACTCCCACCAAAGCAACATACAGTTGAAGGCAGAGCAGATAAGACGATCCTACCTGTCTTCTTTTAAGTCAGACGTCACTGAGATTTGCAACACAATATAAAGCAACACTATTCCTCTCACTAGTTTTTTTGATTATAGTTATTTCCATTAAAATTGTCATTTCATTAGTCATGTTAACCTTTAAGAAGTGGATTGTTTTTAATGAGTTAATATTTTGAAATTTCTCATTTTTAATTTCTGATATGATAAATGTCAGGAGATATTCCCCGCCCAAACAAAAGCTATTTGAGGTGCTCTTTAGTTTCTAAATGACCAAGGGCCTCCCGCCAGGAAGAAGACTGAGCACGCTGGCCCTGTGCTCCCAAGGTGTCTCCTGACGGGTCCAGGGCTTACAGGGGATGGAAGCCAGAGGTGACATCAAGAGTCATTTTCCTTTGAACAACGGTAATTTAAAGCAGAGCTTGACAAAGTACAGTCTGGAGACCAAATGGAATCCACAGCCTGTTTTTATAAATAAAGTTTTATTGGCAAGCAGCCACACCCATTTCTTGTGACTTGCCTGTGTCTGCTTCCGTACTGCAACAGCAGAGTTGCGGAGCTGCAGCAGAGACGTTTTGGCCCAGTTTGCTGACCGCTGCCTTGAAGGGTCATTTCTATAAGACTCCTCTTTAAAAGGAGTACAAAAATTGGAACTGTGCAACAGTACATGAGCTGTTTATGTCACATTTACCGTTCCCTCACATTCTTTAGTGTGAAAGTGAGTGAAGACTGAGAAACCCAAGAGTCAGACAATTGTCTTTTTTAAAAACAAAATTTATCTTTTCTTTTTATACAGGAAAATACAAAGAATAATTCAAGAATAATTCATAGTCTCCACTCCCAGAAGTGTTGTTTTTGTTGAAAATAAATTTTCAGACAGATGAAAATCAAAGACTTCCCTGGCCCTTAGCCATTCTCTCCAAAGACAGACATCTGTGGTTAATGGTTTTTAATGAATACTTAAGAAAATAAAAAATCATGCATATGCAAGCTTACATTTTTATATCTTTAAAATTTTTCTTACTCAGAGTTAATCACACTGTACAATGATCTATGTATCCCTTGTATGGAAATCCATGCATTTAAAGTTTTCACATATTGTTAAAACCTCTATATCTTGCTTCTCTTGACATGTGCATTTTTTTTTTTTTTTGACAGTGTTAAATCGCCCCCAACCAAGACATCATAGATTGAACTCCTAATAGCAGTGCATCAAAGTTCTTATTTTCCCATACTTCCACCAGGAACTGGGCATAAACTTTTTTTTTTGCTTTGTTTTAGTGTTTTCTTATCTTTTCAGAGAAAATTATCTTATTGTGATAAATTGTATAGGTAGATATCCATGAGTGAGTCTGAGCATCCTATTATTTATTGTTCCAAGAGAGCGCTGAACATCACATGCTCTCAAAGAAGCAAGAAACTGTTCCATGCTGTTTCTAGTACTAGAATGCTAAGCAGCATTAATAATGGACTTAATGTTTCCTGCGTGGATCTCCACTTGCCTCCTTACCCCACTGTAACTGGTGGCAGTAAAACCTCAGTGTAGTCATAGCTCAGATGGCATGAGGCCCCCTAACTTGTCCCATGGGTTTCCTTAGCATGTGGAAACTGCCACAGTTGACCTCAGCCTTGATTGCTACAAAGCAAATACCCAGCTGAGGTTTACTTATCTTTGTCCTATTGCCTGTGTAGATGTTAACCAAAAACCCTTTTGAATACACTTTTAAAGAAATGTTGGGAAGCCGTGTTTAACCTAAAAGATAAATAAACAAGGCTGTACCAAAAGATATATTCACCACCCTAAATGTGACCAAACTTTTCTATAATTACATATATTTTGTTTTTAAAAATCAAAACAAAAACTAGATATTTAAAAATGTCTTTCAGACCTTGCTCTCCATACCAAATCATACTGACTAGAGATTTATAGAAATGGTCATTTCCTTTTATTGTAACTGTTAAATGTTAAGGTGACCTAAACAAGTTGAGGTTTTAAAGAATTTTATAAATTGATCAAGTTACAATAATGGTACAAAAAAGGGAAGGAAGGGCAAGAATATGAAAACAATGACATTTTTTTTCCAACCTCAGACATTAGTTAGGCTGAATCCATGGGGTAAAAGTTGTATGAAACTTAAGATGCAATAGTAGTTGACATTATATTTAATAGTAGCATCTGAAAATAGCCGTGCAGTTTTGTAAGCACTTTTAAAGTTTACTCTCATATTTTATCATTTTTTCCCCCTCAGTTCTTCAAAAAAAACAGCAACACCAGGATTTTAGTTTCCATACTCCTACCCCAGGCAAATGTTTTGATTACCAGAGTGATTTTTGTAATCCCTCCTGTTGTTATGACTATCAGTGCTTTTCTGAGTTCCATAGGTAATGATAGAAAGAATAGTCATTTTACACAGAAGAGTCTGTTTATGGCAGAGTGGTGACACTTGATTTGCCAAAAGCGCACTGTGAAGGTTTCAGGGATTGGCACATACGTAGTAAAAATACAAAAATATGCTGGGAGATGATTAATACCAAGTTCAGGGTAAATGTTATCTTTAAAGAGGAGAATTAGGGGAAGGGGGAGGGTGGAAGAGAGTCATGTACTTCAGCTGTGTCTATAATGTCTTCTGTGTTTTAGAAATGAGGACTTGAAGCAAACATAGCAACATGTTAATATATATTTAATCTGGATTGTGAATACATGGCTATCTGTCATTTTTTTCTATTCTTTTCGGCCGCTAGTATAAATAAATAGTAAAAGATGTTCTTGTTTATTTCAGAAAGAAATCCGTAGCTCCTTGGTTCTTTCAGTGTTGCAACAAATGTCAATGGAAGACAAGGCAGATTTGGTAAGAGAAGCTGTGATCAAAAGCCTTGGTATCATTTTGGGATACACTGATGACCCAGACAAATATCAGCAGGTATGCTTTTCAGAATAAATCCCATCTATTCCATTATAAAATTCCAAATGGTGTAATATCCCAAACCTCTGATTCAGATACCCCATAATCTATGGTAGGGATGGCAAATGGGTCAACTTGAACAAGTTAAAGTTGGCTGCCTGGTTTCAATTCTGCAATTTCAAGGAGAAAGTGCTTTGATTCATTTATAGTATCTGCCATAGCTTTGTGGCAGGAAATTGGCAACAAGCTTGCCATTTTCTCTCTGGTTTCCCCCTCAATGGATACATGACATTTTTCTTTAAAGAAATTGGGGAAGGCAGGATTATTAACAGCTTCTTTCTTGCTTAAAATGTCTTCTAAATGTATTGGAATGGATGTTTATTACATTTTGTTGTGTATTTGAGGCCTCTGTTTTGTTTTAAATCTGTGTTGTGTCTGTTTCCTTTTGGCAGGGTTTTGAACTGTTGCTGTCAGCCTTGCGTGATCCCTCAGAAAGAGTCGTTAGTGAGTGCCACACATCAAGTATTTTTACCAGCCTATGCCCCCTGTCCTACAGAACTTGGAAATTTACAGTCTCACCTAATACCCACATTGCTGAACAAGATTGAAAAACTTCTCAGGGTAAATGCTTCCTTTATTTATACAGTTAATAGAAATTTTAAAGGTGTGTTTTAAGGCATCTTGAAATAATGTCGGGGAAACAAAGATAGAAAGTACCACTTTGCTGAACATTCTAATTAATTACCGGTTAAAGATTCTATTGGTCTGGAGCCAAGAGAGATTTGAGGTAGTTTTGCTTGACTGAAGCTAAGGAGAAAGGGCACGATATGACTTTGTTAGCTAAAATAACACCTTTGTGGCACCTACTCTGACACTGTTCCCAATGCTGCCTCTTCCTAACCTCTTCTGAATACTTAAATACTGTAGATAAAGTATCAGCCTTAGTCCCCAGAACTCAGAGATAACTTAAAATATGAGTCTTTAAAGCTTTCTTGTTTACACAATGTCAAAATGTTTTAACTTTATTTCACTGCATTCGTTCATGCCCTCTTTAAAATGAAATTTTCTTTTCTTTAAAATGAATTTTCCATTCTTCCTAAGAACAGAAGAATAGTCGATACAACAAAACTAATTTTTGTACTAAAAGTCTCAGCATCTAGGAGAAAAACTAACATTTCTTTCATATGTATTATGTACACATTATGTACCATATTTTATAAATAAAATCTATTATTTCATTCTTAGAACTCTTTGAATTATATTTTGGTTTTTTGGTGTGGAAACTGTTTAACTTACCATAGCTGTCAAATGACAGGACCAGGATCAGATATCAGCCTCTGAAATGACACTGTTGCCCTTTCTACTCCCAAATTTTAAGAATCTTTATAAGACTCTTAACATAAAGTATTTTAACATATATATATATATACTACTCTGTATATCGTCTTACATGTATGTATGTGCATTTATCTAATTTAAAAATTGGACTTGTTTTCCTATAAATTTCAAAATGCAAGTTGAAGGCAATAAATAGACAACTAGACTGAAGTACTTCTTTTTATGAAACCTAGGGAATTTTTCTCAAGTATTTTTTTTAAATATTTGCATCCCTTCTATCTGAGAATTATCCATACCGGGTTTTCCTTGTTCCATTCCATAACACAGCTAATTCCACATTGCTGCTAAACATAGCTGCAGTATTCAGCACAGATAATGGTCCATAAAGAAATTAACTAATTTAGAACTTGATAGTAAAAAAACCTAACATATCTGGTATTTCTGACACAGTTGTTATTTATAATATAATGAGATCCCAAGTGGATTTGAGCAGCATTAAATGCTTTTATCTCTAGTGATTCTAGTTTTCACTTAAATACTTGGTTTCTGTGACCCATAGTGATCGTTTTACTCTTTTTGGTTGTTGTTTCTATTATCTCTTTCTTTTGTTTCCTGTTGAAATTTCTTCTGTGTTTTACAGTGAATTATTTTAAAGTGTATTAAATACTGGCAAATATAGTTGTCATCAAATCTATGAAAGGAGTTTGGAAGTAGAGAGAAAATAATAAGTGCTACTGCTGGTTTAACAGTTGAGCATTTAAAATGATTCCTTTGATCACTTTAATATCTTTAACCTGACTTCTAAAATTTCAAAAGTTAAGACCCTCTTAAAAGAAGAAACCTGTGAAAGAAGTTCCATACAAATGAAATGACTGATGTTCACCCTGAAGATTTCCGTACAAAAGATTCTATTACGTCCACAGTGCCTTCTGAAAGTTAAAATGTTAGCTGACCGGTAGTGTCCCCATGAACTGCAGTCCACAAGGCTCCTTTGTCCATGGAATTCTCCAGGCAAGAATACTGAGTGGGTTACCTTTTCCTCCTCCAGGGGATCTTCCTGATCCAGGGATCGACCCAGGATCTCCTTCACTGCAGGCAGACTCTTTACCTTCTCAGCCACCAGGTAAGCCCCCACAGTGCTTTAGCTCTTCATATTTTCACACACTCAGAGCAATTCAGAAAAGATTCTTGGTCATCTCCATTAGGTTTACTGTGAGGCTAACACACATGTCCTTAAATGTTTTATTGTTTGCCACCGAAAGGAAGAGCATCATAAATGCATACTCTCAGGAGACTAAATTAGCTTCCACGTACTTATGTTTCAAGAAGGCGACCACGGGCTGGATGGACATAAGCTCCACTGTCTGCCTTGGAGTCCTTGATCCCATCTCTCTTTGCATTAGTGCTACAGAACGCACCCTTCTCCAGCAAAGCCAAGCTTCAGGGTGACGTGCCACAGATAGAAGGTATTGAGCTTAAATTATGGAAGGGAGATGTAGAACATTGACAGCTTAGCTTCCCACAGAATTGTTTTTGATTAAAATTGTAAAAGTCACTTTGTTTTAGTTGCTAAATCATGTCCAAATCTTTGCAAGCCCAAGGACTGTAGCCCACCAGGCTCTTCCATCCATGGGACTTCCTGGACAAGATTACTGGAGTGAGTTGCCATTTCCTTCTCCACAAGTCACTGTATGACAGCATAATTACTAAAACGTGTTATATGTGTGGAACCGCGTGGTCAGAGATTGTATGATCCTTAAGAGGAACAACATGGCTTCATCATTTATGGATAAGCCTCATGGTGTTATTTTACAATATTTATTCTTCCTCTCCATTCTTAATCTAGAGCCTTTTTTTTTTCAGTGTGGTAAGTCAGAAGTGTTTTCTTTTTTTAACAGAGCTGAATTAATAGTTACCAGGGCCAGTTCGTGAAGCTTTTCATTTTCATTTTATTTGTATTTTTTTTCTTCCTCAGCTGTTTTGTGTTATTTTCAGTAGGGGAAAGAAAGTGTAATTGTTGTTTCCTGCTGTGTCCTTAATAGGAATATAAGTATATGCAGCACAGTTTTTTTTTTTCTTCCCCAGAAAAAAGAATATGATTTATTTTCAGGAATAAATGAAATTGATAGCAAAAGCCATTATTTTCTAAGCTCAGAGTCCAGCTAACCAGTAAGTGACCTTTGATCCATGGCACGTGGTAGCCCCAAAGCACCCAACCCCCAGGATAAATGGCTATAGACAAGCTATTATTAGTATGTATGAGGTTTTCAGATTTGTGAAATCTGGGCTTCTAATAAACAGGAGTATAAAAGCAAGTGTTTTTAGTGTTACATTTCCATATAAAGTAAACTGGGCCACCTGTAATCTCTGGGATATGAAGCAGTATATCCAACAATGCACGAAGCATTGCATAAAAATGGTATATACTGTAAGAATGCCAGTTTTACTTGGAAAATTGAGAATGGATAGGGTAGAGTTAATTTAATAAATTTCAATTATAATTATTGAGGAGAATGCAACTTCAGACTTAAAGATAAACCACAAAGTGCTCACAGCTGGCCACTTTAGGTTTACCCCTTCACTCATTAAGGCACTTCGGCTGCCTAGGGACTTTCTAATTCCCTTTTTCTTTCTATCTTGCTGCAATGTTCTGCTACATCCACCATAACAAAGTAAGTGAAACGTAGTGCTTTAACATCAGATGCTTGTTGTCATGCAGTTCTGAAGGCGAGAGGTCTAAGATCAGGTTGTCATCAGGGTTGGCTCCTTCTGAAGGCTGTGAGGGGAAAGCTCTTTCCTGCCTGTCCCCTAGCTTCCGGTGGCTTGCTGGCGATCTCTGGTACTCTGGCTTGTAAATGCATCCCCCCAATCTCTGCCTTCATCTTCACATTCTGTTCTGTGTGTGTGTGCGTGTGTGTGTCTCTGTGCCCAAACTTACCCTTATTATGAGGTCAGTTATATTGCATTGAAAGTCCACACTATTCCAGTGTGACTTCATATTATCTAATTACACCTGCAACAGTGCTATCCAAGTGAGATCATATTCTGAGGTCCTAGGGGTTAGGATTTCAACATACACATTTTCACCCCATAGCATTTGCTATCATTCATTCACTTAGCAAATAATTCTTCAGTGTCACCTATGGCCAAGCACATGCTAGAGATTAGACAGAAAAATTTCAAAACTACTTCACCATTCTGAACAGATGTTTATGTGGCCTTTCCTTGTGATTATGTCTTTATTATGTCAAAAATAATCTTAAATTCTCACTGACTTAATTTGACCTTCTGACTTTTAATAGTAGCTGTAAATGTTAATGTCATTATACTCACATGTTGGTTATAATACATTTACTATAAATGAGGAAATACTATATCTGTATTTAGGGTCTGTCTATATAGCTGTGTCTATATGTCTGTCTCTATGCATATCTATATAATTTAGGATACAATTTATTACAAGTGAAGAGTTATTTGTTTTTTTCTTAAGTAACAAAAATGCCACAACACTAGCTAATATGTATGCAAGGTACTATTTTGAACACTTCAGATGCACTCACGAAGAAAACAGCCAAAAATCTCTGCCATCATAGAGCTGACATTTTGGAGGGAAGGAAATACATTAAAGAATCATAGCAGCTGTTATTTTGCTGGATTTGGATACTTTTGGTAATTTTTAGACAATGAAATGCTAGCTTTTTGTCAGTCTATTGAAATGGCATTCTGAGGACTTTTCTGTATGTTCACAAGTTAGATGCTTAAATTTTTAAAACTCGTTTTAAATAGAATAATACTTTGAGGTTCCTAAACCTCAAACTTATCATTCCGACTACTTATATTTTACAACTGAGTTGTCCATGGTGTATTAGTTGCTCAGTCATATCCGACTCTTTGCAACCCCATGGACTGTAGCCCGCCAGATTCCTCTGTTCATGGAATTCTTCAGGCAAGAACACTGGAGTGCGTAGCCATTCCCTTCTCCAGGGAATCTTCTCAACCCAGGAATCAAACTCCAGTCTCCTGCATTGCAGGCAGATTCTTTACCATCTGAGCCCCCAGGGAACCCCTGAGTTATCCAAGTAATTGCTTATTTCATGTTTTGCTTCTGTTGGACCTCGCTTTAAATCTTTGGACCTCACTTTTCCTATAATAAATCTTAACATTATCTATTTGACTCTTAACTCTTCCACTGTTTTTGAGTAATTTGTCATATTTCTGAAGGAATAATATGCATTCCATCGTAGTATCACAGGTTGTGACCAATATGATATAATCCTATTTGAAATGATCAGATGTGCTTCAACATGATACAGAAATATGAGGTACAACTATCCCTCACTGTCCAAATCTGTTTGATTCCTTGGTTGGGATAATGACGATTCATGCAGAAATCTCAGAGTGTGGGATACCATTTTACCTTAATTCATTTATTCGTGTATTATGATAGCCAGTAGAGACTTTAACTAACAAGGGACAACCTTTATCTGTCCTTAAGATATTGTGAAGTACCTTAGGGAGCATAGGAAGATAATACCACCTTAATTTTGTCTTTCAGCATTTTAAAAGTTATTTCATGTTTTCTTAAGTTTAATAATTATCATTAAGCCATTCATATGCTTTGAGAAAATGCTGCCTCCTTCATTGTGTCTTTTTAGGGTGTTAACCTCTATGCAGGAGCTGTTGGGCCACTAGGAATTTCTCTTTAACAGTTAAGGAGCTGTTGGTAGCAGTCTTCACTTAAGAGCCAGCTAAGACCTGGAATCTAATCTAATCTAATCTGTAGGATCATACATTTTATTGATATGTTCAAATTTGAAAATATGCTAATATATATTCGTTATTTATTTACACAATTTTTAAAGACATTTTTTCAGTTTTCCCCCAAAACTTTTAAAGTTTGTATTTGAGACCCTGGTTATAATATTTATAATAATTTTCTTCTTATTATTATTACATATAGCTTTATCTTACTGGTCACTGCTTTTAACACTTTATATTAACGTAATGTTTATCAAACTATGGAAAACTTTCTAATTAAAGCATTTAATATTGGAGATTAAATACTTAGAATCCTGTTCAACTCAAGCTTTAGTGTATTTTAGGTTATTCTCTGGTATTAAACAATTTTTCCCTGCTGTCAAACTATTAGTTTCTTACTCCATGAAGGAAATATCTTATTGTAGTTACTATTTATTAACATAAGCAATCTGGTGGATTTACAGCTATCTTTTTTTTTAACCCAAATTCAAATCCATATTTTAACTGAGATCTTATTTTGGAGCAAATTTTTAAATAAATAATGTTTTGCTTTTTACTGGCAAACTCTTTCATTTCAGTATTCGTTTACTAGATATTTAGTCTCATAAAATCTTAATTTTTTGAGATTTGTTAAATTTGTTCACATGCAAGAGAAATTTACAGTCGACCCTTAGACAACAGGAGTTTGAGGTGTACACATCCACTTATATATGGATAGTTTTCTGTAGTTAATATTGTAGTATTGCCTGGTCCATGGTTGGTTGAATTTGTGGGTGTGGAGGAATCTCTGACACAAAGGTCTGACTATAAGTTAGACAGTTTAACCCCTGATTGTGCAGGGATTAACTACATTTCATTTTTTTTCTGAAAGTGATTTAATGTATTTAGTTTTGTATTTGAAGTCTAGAATATGCTAAATAAATATTAGGAGGCAGAACCATACTTTTCTTCTGACCAGAGAGTTAACTTTCCAAACCACCATTTTCTGCATGACTTACTTCGCGTCTCTGTGTTTACAGTGACTGGGTTCCCTCGGCCTGTGTCACCTCTTCAAGATGTATCTACTATTATTGGAAGTCGTGAGCAACTGGTGTTGCTACTACAACTTTATGACTACCAGCTGGAACACGAGGATACAACTGGCTGGGAGAGTTTTCTGTGAGTTGTCAGTCAGCTGTAAGTTACCACCTCCATGTTCATTGGGTACGTCTCAGCTACTTGAATGGAAGCTCCCTGGGAAATGAGGGACAAAATATAGCGAAATTTTTTTTTTTTTTAAATAACAAAACATAACTTGGCATCATCTGTGGTAACTGTCTTCAAGAGAGATTTATACCTGTAGACATGTAGTTGCTTATCTGTGCTTATCTGCGTCTGTATTACTACAGAAAGACCTGTCTGCTCCTTTTAGTATCTAAAAGTGGTGGTGGATTGTAAACTACATCCAGACTTCTCATTTTTGAGGCTAAAATATATGGTGCCGTGTGAGCCAAGCTTTTGTATGAAGTATCACCTCCATTGACTTAAGTCTTATTATCACCACACTTAGAACTCTGCCATTAAGGTTCCATATATTTCATGACAATCTGTTAAAATGTAAGAAGTTTACAAAATATGAAGTTGAGACTTTTTCAAAGGCTCCCAAACAACTCCTTTGCTTTCTAATTTTACTGGCAGTGAAAAGCAGAAGAGATTGTTAGAATTGGATTGTTTCAGAAATTGGCAAGGAAACAGTAATTTATTTGTACTCCCTGCCGATTTTCCTTTCTTTCTTATTCAGGTTACCACAGCTTATAGAAATAGTTGGCAAAATTAATGTCACTTCAACTGCCTGTGTCCATGAATTCTCCAGATTTTTCTGGCACTTTTGCCAGACATTTGGCCAAATTTTTACAAACACTAAGGTAAAAACTTGTATTTCATATTTTCTTATATGCAAGACATATAAACATGTAATGTGTTAATTAATACTATGGCAGAGTAAGTAAAAGCAGGAACCCTTCCTTTATTCTAATTATCTTTTAATATCTTAGTAAACTATGATCATAGAAAATTCTGGTCTGTAATATTCATATCTTTATTGATTTTCAGAAAATGATTTAGTCAAAATTTAGTCTGTATCCACATTTAAATATAAGGTCTGCTCACTGTGGATGTCTCAGAGCTTTCCAGCAGAGAAAGTATCAGCTAGGGGACTCCACTGCAATTCCTTGAATATGCTTCTTGTACTGAATCTACCAGAGATTCAGGAAGCCCCCATTCCCTTTATATGCTTTGGTCAGAACTTCAGGTGATTGTGGGCTTCCCTGATAGCTCAGTCAGTAAAGAATCCACCTGCGATGCAGGAGACCCCAGTTCAATTCCTGGGTCAGGAAGCTTTGCTGGAGAAGGGATAGGCTAACCACTCCAGTATTCTTGGACTTCCCTTGTGACTCAGCTGGTAGAGAATCCACCTGCAATGCAGCAGATCTGGGTTCGATCCCTGGATTGGGAAGATCCCCTGGAGAAGGGAAAGGCTACCCACTCCAGTATTCTGGCCTGACTCCATGGACTATGTAGTCTATGGGGTCGCAAAGAGTCAGACCCAACTGAGCGACTTTCACTTTCAGTCATTATAGAAACACAGCTGCTTGTGTAGAATACTTGCTACAAGATAGAAGCTCTTGGAATAGAATGGACACTTGAGATAAATGCTGCATATTTCAATCACTGTCACGTTTGCCTAACCAGGTTATTTTGTTGTTTAAATATTAAAATTGGAAAGTCCTTAGGTCCTACTTTCTTCTTTAATCCTGTTAATCCATTTGTCTTCATAACAGGTTGTTGAGCCAGTTCCTTAGAGCATTAACAAAACCTTATAAAGATGTAGTTGCTATATGTTAGTACATTTAAAAGGTAAAAATTTTGTGGCACCTCTTTACTGAGCCTGTAGTTTTTGAAACATTTAGAGCATGACAGTTTGGTATAGTGGACTGACAAAATTCAGAAAATGGGTTATGGAGGAAGGAGCCAAGATGGCGGAGGAATAGGACGGGGAGACCACTTTCTCTCCTACAAATTCATCGAAAGAACATTTGAATGCTGAACAAATTTCACAAAACAACTTCTGATCGCTAGCAGAGGATATCAGGTGCCCAGAAAAGCAGCCCATTGTTTTCGAAGGGAGGTAGGACAAAATATAAAAGATAAAAAGGGAGTCAAAAGAGCTACGGACGGAGACCCGTCCCGGGAAGGGAGTCTTAATAGAGGAAGTTTCCAATCACCAGGAAACCCTCGCACTGGCGGGACTGGGGGAAGTTTTCAGCAATCTAACTGGGAGGAAAAATTAAACAAGGCCCACAGATTAAGTGCCTAAAAGCAACTCCCAGCAGAAAAGTACCCCAGACCCCCGTACCCGCCAGCAACAAGCAGGGGCGGGACGGAGAGGAGCGGGCGGCATTGCTTAGGGTAAGGACCGGCCCGAAGACCCTGAGAGCAATCAGAGGGAGCTTTTTTTAAACTGCGGGATAGCAAGGGTCAAAATTAACAGGCCCGAACACACTGCCGGTGGTTCGCAAAACAAAGGGACTGAGAAAGTCCAGAGAAGAGCCGGCCCATCCCCGCTGGAGGTAGGAGGCAGGGGGGAGGGGAAAAGGGCAAACTCAGCCCCTGAGAAGCCACCCCCTCCCACACTGCAAACAGGCCCCCGGTTCCTATCTAAAGACTTCCTGAGACCCGACTGGCGGCGCGCACTGGGGCCGCGGAGGGAAAAAGCACGCTGTACCCGGGAGATTGCGCCCAAGCCTCTGGCTGCCTGAGCTGCCCGCCGCGGAGGGAAAAGGCACGCTGCATCCGGGGAGAGTGCGCCCAAGCCTCTGGCTGCCTGGGCCGCTCGGCGCCGTACCCGGGGAGATTGCGCCCAAGCCTCTGGCTGCCTGAGCCGCTCGCAGTGGAGGGAAAAGGCACACCGCATCCGGGGAGAGTACGCCCAAGCCTCTGGCTGCCTGAACCGCTCAGGCCGGGGAAGGCACAAAACGCAGGCGCAACCGAATCTGCGCTTTTGTGGAGTACCCGAAAACTGGAACCGCACTCAACGCAGGGCCCGCTCCATATAGAGCAGCCGGGAGCCTGAGCAGTATAGACGGGGAAAGCACTGACACCCGTGAGCGGGGCAAACCCAGTGTGACCGGAACATGGTGAGTGCTATCCACACAGAGCGGTATCTGTCTGCAGCGCCCCGCCCTCCCCGTAGCAGGACTGAACTGAACTAGAGAACCTAAATAAGAGATCACCTCCACCCGCCTGTGTCAGGGCGGAAATTAGACACCAAAGAGACGGCAAACAGAAGCCAAATAAACAAAGGGAACAGCTTCAGAAAGGACTGGTGCAACAGATTAAAATCCCTGAAAGTAACACCGACTACACCAGAAGGGGCCTACAGATATCGAGAAGTGTAAGCTGGAAAGAGGAGCTATCTGAAATTGAACTGAACCTATGCTGACTGCAACAACTCCAGAGAAATTCCTAGATATATATATATATATTTTTTTTAATTTAAAAAAAAAATTTTTTTTCTATCCTTTTTTAAAATTTTTTTTTATTTTTTCTCTTTTATTTTCTTTTAATTCCATATTACTCCCCCATTACTCCTCAACTTTCATTTTCATATATTTTTACGATATTTTTAATTAGGGAAAAAAAATTTTTTTCTTTTTCTTGTTTTTCTCTCCTATTTCCTTTTAAAGTCCTCTAATACTCCTCTATTATTCCTTAATTTTCATTTTCATTTCACTATAACCTTGCCAAAAAAAAAAAAAGAGAGAGAGAGAGCGAAAAACCCTATTTTTTAATCAAACTTCATATACATTTCTAAATTTATTTTGTGTTTTTGTTTTTAAATATTGTATTTCAAAGAGTCTAACCTCTACACTAGATTTTTAATCTTTGTTTTTCAGTAGTATGTGATATAAATTTTGGTCATTTAAGAATCCAGTATTCAGTTCCCATTTCTATTCAGGAGTGTGGTGATTACTCTCCCACTTTTGACTCTCTGTTTTCTACCTCGGAACACCTCTATTTCCTCCTTTCCCCTTCTCTTCCCAATCCAACTCTGTGAATCTTTGTGGGTGTCTGGGCTACGGAGAACACTTTGGGAACAGATAACTGCGTAGATCTGTATCTCTCCTCTTGAGTCCCCTTTTTCTCCTCCTGATCACCTCTATCTCCTTCCTCCCTCTCCTATTCTTCATGTAACTCTGTGAACCTCTCTGGTTGTCTCTCACGGAGGAGAATCTTTTCACCATTAACCTAGAAGTTTTATTATCAGTGCTGTATAGTTGGAGAAGTCTTGAGACTATTGGAAGAATAAAACTGAAATCCAGAAGCAGGAGACTTAAGCCCAAATCTTGAGAAAACCAAAAAACTCCTGACTACACGGAACATTAAGGAATAAGAGACCATCCAAAAGCTTCCATACCTACACCAAAACCAGCCACCACCCAAGAGCCAATAAGCTCCAGTACAAGACATACCATGCAAATTCTTTAGCAACGCAGAAACATAGACCTGAGTGTCAACATACAGGCTCTCCAAAGTCACACCTAAGACATAGATCCATCGCAAAACTCATTACTGGACACTTCATTGCACTCCAGAGAGAAGAAATCCAATTCCACGCACCAGAACGCTGACACAAGCTTCCCTAACCAGGAAGCCTTGACAAACCAATCGTCCAACCCCACCCACTGGGTGAAACCTCCACAATAAAAAGGAACCTCAGACCACAAGAATACAGAAAGCCCACTCCAGACACAGCAATCTAAACAAGATGAAAAGGCAGAGAAATACCCAACAGCTAAAGGAACATGAAAAAAGCCCACCAAGTCAAACAAAAGAGGAGGAAATAGAGAATCTACCTGAAAAAGAATTTAGAATAATGATAATAAAAATGATCCAAAATCTTGAAAACAAAATGGAGTTACAAATAAATAGCCTGGAGACAAAGATTGAGAAGATGCAAGAAATGTTTAACAAGGACCTAGAAGAAATAAAAAAAAGTCAATTAAAAATTAATAATGAAATAAATGAGATCAAAAACACTCTGG